TAGTGATGTCATTCTACGATATGATGCTGTACTGTTAATTAATTGACCGTAACCTTTATATTAATTTAATTTTGTTTGTAACCATGTTTTGTTATATTTTTTCTTTATAACTTGCAATTTCAGCGCATCTCTTTTGATTTGCAATATGAATTGAATTGTTTCATCGTGGTTATTGTACTTGAATCATACTCAATCTTACATTACTCTGTATTTACTATAAAAAACACTGTCATCTTATCATTCAAACTTCATGTATTTTATTTCCGGTAGTGCCATGCGGAACCAGATATGTACAAATTTTGGTACGTAATAAAGATATTGAATGAATGAATGAATGTATTACATTGATGATATCTCCTCATAACACGGGAGGACACAGACAAGACATTTCTTACAATCAAACAACAAGTTTCTAGTTTATATCCCTCTATTAATTTCACTTGAAAGAAAGAGAGTGATGCAGCTATAACATTCTTGGATTTGTGCATACATAGATCCCTTAAAGGCTACTATTCTTGGTTTACCATAAATTTAATAAGATACCTCATATCATCCCGGCAGACATTTCCCAGCCTTTGCGATAGATACATTGACACTGCTATTGCTGCCCTCATTAAAAGTGCCTTCTAATGGTGTTTAACTCAATGCAAGCGCTTGTAAACATTGAGTTAAACACCATTAGTTTGGTAGTAGTACATGGAGCTGGTTTCTCACGTGCTAAGTTCACGCATGTGCTTAACATGGTCAGGAAATCTCTATTTCCAAGCACCACACTATGTAACAAGAGAGAGGTGTCAGTAGTTCAACCATCATTACTATACCTTGGACCCCTTTCCATATGCATTTGCTGCATATTCAGGCAACACAACCTTCTCCTGACCATTTCTCTGCTACCAAATTTGTGCACACTCATCTGCAACGATCAGGACAAATTCTGCACTTTTGAGAAATTGAGGGTCTGTGCTGTACAATTGGGGAATCCCGTAACGGGGATGAATATGAGGTACATTGGGACTACAACAAGAATGCTCACTAGCTGTCTAGCTGAGCACTAGGATGATGTGGTGAATGGAAAGCACACCACAGAGCTTGCAAAAAAGGTGCTCAAGCAGAGCTACAATCCGTTATGGACCAAAACAACAATACTCAGATGCTGTAGCGACCAAAAACTCATCTTTATAGGGAAATCTTACTTAAAGAAAACCTTGGAACATGCAACACTCCCACTTTAGACCTGCCCAACATATGGGTCGCACTATATAACGGTTAAACAGCAATTCACATCTTTAACATGGATCTGCATCCACACATGTGCCGCATCACATCATACGTATAACATCAAACATATTTGAAATTTATAGCTTGCTCATAACGGTTTTAATTCAAAAATCTTTAATTTAAATAATATGCATTCCATTCTTGTTAGAACATTTGTGTTTGATTTTAAAATTTTTGTTTGCCTGACTACGACAATGAACATAGGTTTGTTGAAAGTGCTAGCAATAAACAACTATTAATAATGCTGTTCTCAGTAAATTTTCCGTCCTGTTATTTATCAATTGCTTGAGGATCAAGCTGTATTATATTAAGTTACTGAAAAAGAGCCAAAACTTTTAGGCTTAAAAAAATCCAAAGGTATTTATTAATTACTGTATATCATCTACTTTTTGTCAAAATATTACTAACACAAGTTCTAAATGCTAATAATATTGCCACAGATATGAAAATTTAAAATAATTTTTAATACTTATATTCTCTCAATTATAATTCTCTTTAAACATTTTGTCTTAATCTATATATATAAAAATGAATGTATGTCTGTGTGTCTGTCTGTCCTTCATGCACACCGTTTATCCGGCTGCCGTGAAACTTTGGGAAGTTGTTTAATATACTCCAGCGAAGGTTTGTGGCATAGTATGATTGCCATGAAACTTTGGAAAGTTTTTTTAATTTTTTAATACACTCCTGCGAAGTATATTTATCCTACAATAGATGGCGCGCGTTTACACGAGCATTCGTGCACAGTGTGTTCGATCGATTTCAAATTGTGAAGACCATTTCCCCCTTCAAAAAATATCTCTATATATGCATTTGTGAACTGTTATTTACGATATTTATAATAATTTTTGTTTAATCACTTTATTTCGACTTTTTTT